AGAGAGAGAGAGAGAGAGAGAGAGAGAGAGAGAGAGAGAGAGAGATGCATGCCTATCGTCAGATCGTCGGTGTGCAGACTCCAAAGACCACCAATGTGAATGGAAGATGCAAAGACTACCGTCTTCACCCGAATAGAATGCCCGTCGCCCGGTCGTTATCACTGTATCTGGACTGACAGCTGCACCAGATACGACTGCAATGACTTGCTGTTTTCTGCCGCTGGTGACCCGTCGACCCGAGGCTGTAACATAGGTAGGTTATATTCCTTATTTTGTTTGGCTGAGGGCTAACCGAGAGACCTGCCTGTAGGGAAATTTGTGAGGGACATATCTGCGAATTCGGTAAAATATACCCCCGCACTAACTAGAATTTCCTACAGCTCTCCTAACTGCGAATTGCAGGCCCGGGCTACCCCTAGGACGGACAGGCCCTAAAGGCCTATGCCAATAGACGGTCCTATAGCCTATAGCCGGGTAGGAAAGAGGCCAAGAGGCCGAAACTGAAACGGTACCGGTCGGTCCAGTCAGTCCGGTCTAGGTCTAGGCTAGGGTAGTGTAAGTCTATAGATAGATTGTAGACATCAGTTCGGGGCTTTTTGGCAATTGGTACCGTGTACGTCGCTGCTGCGCAACACATGAACTGCCGTGGTGACAGCTTCAGCGTTGGAGGAGACAGACATAGCTGGATCTGCGGAGTGTCGGCCATAGCTGGGACCGGCGCTGTACTCTGACAGCACGCGGGGCTGTTTAGAGGTCCAGGCTATCTGAAGTCTGCTGGAGGCGAGTGAAGTTGGTGCCCTGCTGGATCCTCCTCAGGAGTACGGTTTCAAGGTGTTTGGCGCTGCAGCCATAGCTGCAGCTTTCTTCCTCAGAGAGCATCTTTGTCAGGAGACGTGGCGCTGCTACAGACTTCCACCCGGGAAGTCCTCTGGCACTTCATCATCATCAGACACTGTGGCCCTGGTCTTCTTCTTCATCCTCTGAGAGGCGCTTGGCCTCAGAGGCCTGTTTCAGGGTGGCGCTTCCCTCTGGAGGCAGTATATGGGTGGCGCTTGACGTTTCAGGGACTCAGGGGTAGTCCTAGCGGTTATTCAGGGTTGGGGAGTGAAGCGCTGCCCCATCTTGAGCAGCGCACCATGGTTCTGGGCTTATCCTGACATTTCGAAACTCTGCGTTTAATAAACAGTGTTTATACTGTGTGTGAACTATCATTTCTTCATTGTTTCCTGGATGTGATCTACTCGGCTTTCCTTTGTGACTGGTTGTGAGGATACTGTGGTGCGATTAGCACTTTCAGTGTTTCCTGTGATATAGCATGGTCAAGTTATCCGCTGTGGTTTTCTCTCCCTGTGCGGTGTGATACTCCCATCCTCTCCCCTTCCTTCTGCGTATGTATGGGCATACCTGGAAGTCTATGTGAGTGAGTGTTGGTCTTCTGACAACAAACAACCAGGTTCATAACACGACTATAATGACTGGGCATTCTATTCAGGCGAAGACGGTAGCAATGCAATAAGCAAAGAAGCAACGTGAATCAAAATCAATGACAGTTTCACAACTGAGAGGGGTAGAACTAGGACCGGACGGATTGGTAGGCAAAATTAGCAGATGTAATGACCCGCCCAAGACACAGACGGAGAACACTGCTGATTTCTGGGATTTGTCAATGGAATGAATGCCTTGTTGTGATTCCCGCATTCTGCTGTGGTCCCAAGTCTGTGTGTGTGCGTGCCTGCTGGTTTGCATGACTGTCTGAGTGCTTGCCGGTCGTGTGTGTGTGCGTGCCTGCTGGGTTGCATGCCTGTCTGAGTGCTTGCTGGTTGGGTATGTGTGTGACCCGCCAGGGTACTTGTTGGTTGCAAGGCCCACCGGGCCGGTAYTTACCTGTGGCCRTGACTTTGAAGGGTTGCAGGGGGGTAAACATGCYVGTAGCAGGGAGTAGGCCCACGGCACTTAGAGCAGCTGGGGAAAAACACTCAAGTAGCAGGTAGGCCGAGCAGAAGAAGACAAAAAGTTGGCATTTTTAGAGGCC